GACAAGGCGAGGCAAGGGACATGCTGCGACCTCGGCCGACACGTGATAGCGGCACACGCGCTGGCCCGTAGGGAGAGGCCATGGTCGGCCATGGGCCAAGCCCGGCGCCAGCGAAGCACGTGCGCATGGTGACCGCGAACACAAGCCGAAAGACGGAAAACGGTGCCATGCACGCTATTTAAAGCATCCCAAAAACTGCTTCAAAGCTCGACTAAGGCTTAACCAACTACACGAACCTAAAGTGCACACCACCAGCTATCCAGCGAAGCAATCGTTGAGACTAAAGAGTGACAAGAGAGGTAGAGAGGAGGATGCCAAGGTGATCATGTCGCTTGAGCACTAGTTCACGAGCAGAGCACTGGTGACAAGGTTTTAGTGCGTTCTGATCGAAGTTTGGGCAATTTTAAGAGTTCAAGTTGACATCCAACTCAACTATGACCTACACCTTGTCCAAGTGCTAAGTTAGAAGCAACCAATGGTGCAAGAACATGGATGTAGTGCTTAACCATTTTTGTTGGAAATCAAATGCCAAAATGGCATTGTCGACTATCATTACAAATGAGAGTTTCGCTTGAACTAAACAACCATTACCACCTTTGATTGAATTTTTAAAAGGTCGGAACTTCATCAATTTCAACTAGACAACATGTCATGACCTAGTCCATACTTCGTACTAACTCGTGGGAACAAAATATTAAAGCACTATTTAAGTATTTTGCACATTATAATTTTTCAAAAATGGCACTTTCTAATTATAAGCTACGTCACATTTTCATTTACAGAAATCGTTTTTCATACCGAACCTCTAAAACAACTTATCCTATTTTTCTTATTAGAATTTCATAAGCACATTTACACATTAATTGAACTAACTCGCAATATCCCGTTTGCTTCTCTTCTCATAAAAATGAGACCTACAATTTAATTATCCTTTCTTGGGAGTTTTAAAAATTTTAACACTCGAAAACTTGTTTTGTTAATTTCTTTTAGGCCTTAATCTACGTACTAAGCAAGATCGTAACGCCAGAGGTGTTACAGTTGTATACGTAACAAACTCACCACCACAGCATATATTGATGGGTAAACAAAGGAAACTAGGGATCAATGTGAGATTTTAATCTCTGTCGATTGTTAAGTATTTAGATCTCTTATGGAGGATCTATTTACGACCCATATGCTTGTTTTATTTTGATAATAAGCATTTCCAGGCGTTATGGGGGAGATTTGATGTACCATACATAATGCTAGAAAATTATTTGGAATGCATAAGGCATTTCAAGCTCAGGATCACGTACTAAATGTTGAGTTCAAAGAATTGTTAATTTGCATAATATTGCAAATAAACTGCCAAATACATTTATTGATTACTAAGGTGTATTTTAACTTGTTAATCCATTGTAAATATGTGCTAGGAAGAGTAGTGGTACCAAGTAAAACCACTCAACTCCCAGTTGTAAATAAGAGAGGGAGAAGTATGGCCATAAAGTAGGATTATTCATGCTAGCAAGAGAAGGTTTTCCTTGCAAGATAAGATAGTAAATGCGGTCAACCTATGGTTGGCGACACCTTTTTGGATAAATATTGGTTATTACCCCGTGGATGGATGTCATCCACAAACCTAGCTCAGAGGTTCACCTAAATGCTGAAGCTAGGATATCGGAAAGCCCTGACTCTTGTTTCGGGAAGTCACGATGAGTCATTCAGGGTACTTTGAGTTTTGATAACCGGAGAATTATATCATAGAAAGGCTACATGTGTTGACACGTACTTCTCTGAATAAACTGTATACAACATTCCAAGTTATCCAGTCAATAAGACCATGGCAGAGTGCTTTGCTCACTCTTACTGAAAGTTGTTGAGTGATGTAATACATGCAGAGATAGTCTTGCTCACCAGAAAAGAGGTGTTTTGGGCTGTGACGCCAACACCTCATGGTACCTTTACTGTGGGTACAAAAATGTTTTTGTCCAAGAATGGATTGAGAACAATGTGGTGGTCAGATCAAAGCAAGACTAGTAGCACAAAAGGGTTTACGCAAAGCCCAGGCATTGATTTTCAATGCAAATTATTCTACATAGTAAGTTATAAATTTTTGATACTATCTTCTGATTGGCAGTACAAAAGCATCTATCATTGTAATTGATAGTTGATAGATGTAGTGATTGCATATATTTATATGATCATTTGATTTGGTGTATTTGTGAAGCTTCCGGGAAGGAGTTCACATACCCAACCCTCATACATAAAATTGCAATAGATTGTGTATTGCTTAAGTCGATATATGGCTTAAAGAAGTTAAGTCAAATTTGGTACAATCGACTTTGTGTGTATTCCCTAAACTGAAAGGATATAAGATTGATTACACGTGGTGTTCATTTTGAAGCCCTTGATTGAATTTCATAGTGTTATATGATAGTCAATAATTTTGACATCATTAGTGATGAACACATGTTAATAGCACGTTGTAATCTAAAGACAGAGTTTAAGATGAAAAATACAGACTAAACCAAAATTTTATTTTGTGTTTATGATCCATGCATCTTCTCTCAGGATTTTGTACAAAAGCTATCTATATCTAGATCATATTGAGTGATTCAATATGAAGGTATCCTATGGTTGTTCTACCTTATGATAGAGGAAGATTGTTTTATGCCATAGTGACTGAGATGAGATATTGGGACATATGGTCCATTATCTCTGTGCTATTTATGCGCTAATATATCTTACAAAAGTTTCCGATCGGATATTATTTTTGCAATGTTTTGCTATCTAGTAGCTGCGCTACTCCTACCAAATGTTGGTAGATTGAAGTTAAGAATATTTTTTGATATTTCAAATAGCACATGTGGTCTTGGTGTAATCCATGATCCAATTATGTGAACATAATGATTCTGGTTATCTATAAGATCTCCAAATTCCATATCATTGAAATAAGCTTTACATGGATATGGAAAGACCATTTTGTGATAGTCTTTAAATAGACATTTAATAGTCAATTCCATTAATCATTCTGACATTGTATTGTAGAAAGCTTCACATGAATGTGTATAGCTTGGCCGAATGATATATCACATATTAAAGTTATGTGGTGTTGATTCTATGAATCAATAGTCATTATCTATAAAGTTAATGCAACTTGTGTTGTGTAGATGGAGACAAGTTATATTTAATGCAATATTTTGTACTAAGATGGTTCTATTTCATAGGTAATATGGGCATTAGAACATTTGCAAACTAAGTCTTGTGTTAATCTCGTAGAGATATTCACAAAGTCTACCATACTCCATATTTTTTATGTGTTGAGTGCATTGGTATGAATTTACTTCGAGGTTTGCTAATATCAGGGGAGAGTCTCTCTGATTAATAACTTGTTGCAAACATCATATTGCACTATTTTCTTTGTATGAGTTTTTTCCTTTTGGGTTACTCATATAAAGTTTTTAATGAGGCAATATCAATACAAGGTTATGTCATATTATCCATTTTTTCCCACAGGGGTTTTTGTTGGATGATATTGAGACATAAGATGCATTGTACTATTTTCTTTATGTGAGTTTTCCCTTTTAAGGTTTCTCATATAAAGTTTTTGATGAGGCAATGTTAACACAAAGGTATATGCTATATCATCTAGTTTTTCTCACCTGGGATTTTGGAATATGATATTTGAAGCATATTGACCCTATGGTCAAGGTGTTTTTAGACTAAAGCTTTATGTTTATCTCAAAGGGTCTAATAATATTGGTGATTGTATATCATGGTGTTTTCTCCTTATTTTTTTCACTGTGTTTTAAGGAGTTTTGCCTGATATACCGGTATTACTTTGGTTTTTCCCCATAGGGTTTTCCAAAGATGCATGATAGATAAACAGTAAAGACTACAAGGAGCTAATTGATCAAGGGAGAGTGTTGAGAATTATTATTTAGTGCTCAATTATGGATTATTCCAAGGGGTGTCTTTTCACCCCTCTCTTTCTTTCACACTTGTAACCGTCCACTTGGGCCATATATATATATATATATACATATATATATATACTGTTTATTATGAATACACAGACATCTTTTGCATCACTTCATTGTCTCTAGTTCTTTTACTTCTAACATACAGAAAGGTAGAAAGCTGGATTGCAAAGCAAAAGTGGGCAGCTTTTTTTTTTTTGACCTCGAAAGCAAAGCAGATCTAGTCCGGAATGCTTACAAAGAAAGGCTTGGTTGTTCTAAATATAATTGTAATCACTTCGGTCTGGATTCTAGACACTCTCTTAATGTCTTCAAATGATTTGGACTGTCTAGAAGCACCTTTCTCTAAAGAAGTTGATGCAGTGGTCGAGATGTACCCTCAGATAAATCTCCAGATAATTTCAGTTCAAACTTCATGAAGAAATGTTGAAATATCATTTGCAACGACTTCTACAGATTAATTGAGGATTTTATAATTATCCAATCTGTCTACGGAGCACCAATGGGTATCATATCACATTTCTTTCAAAAAAGGACACTCCAATTTATCCATCTGACTCCAGGCCTATATTCTTATTAAATTGTTCAGTCAAACTCCTCACAAAGCTTACATGGTGAAACTATGAGGCCCTGTTCGCTTGAACCTATCAGTCACACCGTTTCATAGAAATAACAGTGTTTTTTAATCACAACAAATTACCATCAGCATCAACCATTTTTACAGCCAAGCGAACAGAGCCTGAATCCCATAGACAAAATTAAATATGCCAATATCTTTTGCCTCAAGGGACTATTAAACACTTTTTCTTTTTCAATTAAACAACTCTAAATCAACATCCGTCCAGATAACAAGATGCAGTCATTTTTCCATCCAAATTCCAAGGCTTGAAATCCCATATAAAAAAAAAGGCAATATCTTTTGCCTCAAGGGACTATTAAACACTTTTACTGCTTCTTCTAGACTAAACATTTTTACTCTAAATCAGTGATGATCCGTCCAGATAACAAGATGCACTTGGTAATTCGGTACGGTCTGATGAAATGCGACATGTGGTGCAGGAAAGTCTGATGGCAGGAACACGTGAAGCACACGACTGCCACGGCAACTCCGGTCTGCAAAAGGCCCAGCTTGCAAATCGAATCTGTTGGACTTGGACATCACAACGAAACGCCCGCCGCGAAGCAAACGGTGGCCGAAAAGGATTAATACCAGGCTGTGCTGCTGTGGACCTGTGGTGGCCGCGAAGCAATGGAGGCCGCGGTGGCCACGAGTACGAGGGTGCCCCTCCCTCTGCTGCCCACCGCGGGAGGCCCCTGCTCCCGTCGGGCCTGGCGCGGCCCCGCCGCGGGTTCGCCTCCATCTCCGCAACCACCTCCACATTCGGCGCAGGCGGCAGCGGCGGCGGAGGCCGCATATCTGGTGGTGGCGGCGGCGGCGGTGGTGGGGACGACTCCGGTGCCGGCGCGGCAGCGTCCGCCGTGGCTGTGGAGGCTCTGGGTGAGGCCGAGCAGCAGGCGGACGGCGACTCCGACGCAATCGTGCTCCATGTCGGGGTAACCGCTCGCTCGTGCGCGTGTCTGATTATTCTCGCTGCTACGATTTGGTTCCGATTGGTAGCTGCCGGTATGAGCTGCTGCGTGCGTGCAGGGAATGTCTTGCGGCGGATGCGCGGCCAAGGTGAAGCGGATTCTCGAGAGCCAGGTCCGTAACTCCGTATACAGCTAGCAGCAGTTCAAAGCTTGCACTTCTGCTTCCTCTCATATCGTCTCTCCATTTGGTGTCGGTTCTGGAAACATATTCAAAATCGGATGCACTAGATTTACAAATCTTACAGTCTAATGTGGTGAATTTGATAGGCAAACCCTTCTGCTCCTCTGTAAAAATAATAATTAAAAAATATTTGCTGCGAATGATGCAACTGTAAAATCAGTACTTGCATCCGCAGTTTGCTTGTATCGGTGGATGGGTGCAGTGCTCCCTCCTCGTCAGTTCTTCTTAACCAATTTGTAGTTGCTAACTTGCTACCTTCTTTTGCACTGTATATGCTGCTTCTGTGGCACCTCCAAGTCACCAGGTGCCATCACCTTGTAACAAGTAACACCAGCACCACCATGTAACTGAAGTTCGTTTGGCTTGTTTTCGTCAGCCTGAGGTTGCTGCAGCTACAGTTGACGTCGAAAAGGCCACCGCTCTTGTGTGGATGACACCTGAAGCGAAGGCTACCAAAGATTGGCAAAAGCAATTGGCCGAGAAGCTTGCCAATCATCTCACCTCTTGCGGGTTCCAGTCTCATCTGCAAGGTGTGAAGGATACGTTTCCATCTTTCAGTCCATTTATGCGCCATTTAAGTTGCACGGATTAAGATGTTCTTGTCAACTGAAGCATGTCACCTTCCCTATTGCTCTTTGGTTTTTGCAGGTGAAGGCGAAGCTGAACAAACTGATTCTTGACCTCAGCAGTGCCTTATGTATGACTATGAATGGCCAGTTACGTTCCAAAAAAAAAACTATGAATGGCCAGGAAGTTTTAGCAAGGAGGGGTCCTTGAATACTCCTACTACTTCAGAAGTTGTACACGCGGGTCTACGATGTACATTTGATTGAGAGTTATATGGTTCTATGAGTGCCCAGGAAGTTTTATGCCATTATATTGTTGTTAGGGATTTTTGCTTCAACTTCGTAACACCTGAACTATTGAAGGCAAACTAGTGATAAAATAAAATGGATGAAGACTTTCACATCTTGCAAATTGCCAAAGTAAGAACATCTCTAGAATATCCTTAAAAGTTAAAACAACTCTCTACTTTGGTTTTATGCAAAAAAGAAAAGTACCTGAAGAGATCCTAACATATGGATATGTTAAGCCTCGGGTCCAATGGTTCCCGAACGAAGAAGACCCCCGACCGACCCCTTCAGGATCGTCCGAGAGCTCGGGGGCTATACCCATCTGGAGGAGAAACCCTGCAGAGCCTGACTACGCCGCGACATCCGCGTGGGGCTCGGGGGCTTGCCCGAGCCTGGAGGCTCCCGATCTACGCCAGCACTCTAGCCCGGCCCTTGGCTACTGCCCGGCCAACGACGCCAGCCAAGGCCCAGGCGCAAGAAGACACGCCCTGAACTATCGAGGCTCAGGGGCTCCCCGGCGCTGCCCTTTCGGCACGGCATTGTCGGCCACTTTCCCGACAAGGTCACGCACGGGACGTGACACAAGAAGACAAAGCTTCCCCGTGGCCTCAAGGGGCTCTGAGGCACCCGGGCCCGCGCGTCAGCCCCTGGAGCTGACCTCCATCACCGTCAAGAAGACTCCAGAAGGTCCACCTGGGAGGCTGGTCCAAGCCGACACAGCCTGACACGCAAAGTGTCAAAACAGAGCAGCCGGACGACGCTCAAGGCTTCTTCGGCTCCACGACACCGCCACGGTCCACAGCGCGTCGCCGCAAGGCCCTCCTGGACTCCGGCGCATGTAGACCATAGACTCGTTCCCCCAAACCGCCATGTACCCGACCTATCTCATTATATAAGGAATAAGGTCGGACCTAGGAAGGGGGACGATCATCAGAAGATCATTCCATTCCAATCCTTGGCCTCTGCTCATCATCGAGAACAAGGCAACCGAGAGAGGGGCATTGTTGGTGTTTTCGGACCACCGATGAGTAAATTTGTATTTACGCGTCTGGCTCGAATGGTGTGCTCGGAGGACACAAGGGTTTATACTGGTTCGGGCGGAACGTCCCTACGTTCAGTTCGCTGCTGCTCGTGTTACCGGCCCTTGGTTTGCAGTAGGGGTTACAAACAGGCGAGAGAGGGAAAGGATTCCAAGTCTCTGGTGGAAGGAGTGAACAGGTGCTTAGAGCTTGATTGCCGCTCAGCTGTGTGCTCGTGTCATGCTCTTGTGTTCCGATTCGTTCGTTGTTTGGTCCCCCGGTGGGGGTGCGCTGCTTTCCCTTTCATAGGCGAAGAAAAAGCGTGGGTTACAGTGGAAGAAAAGGAGAAGAACGAGAGAGAGAGAAGAAGGCTTCCAGGATCGCTGGGTCCTTCTTCTCCTTCATGCGGGCCCCACCGATCCTGTAGATATCAACAGGGACGGATCCACGTCGTGGCCCTGTTCGTCACTGGGGCCATGCGTAGGCGTCATCTTCCAGTCATGGCGTTCCATTCCGTCCCGACGAACGTCGTGGTGAACTGACGCGCCTGTCAGCGTTCGTACGAGGGTTAGGCAGAATAGCACCAGCACGTCCAACACTGTTCTTGATATGAATCCTCAGGTATGGCCCGTCATGGCCACGAGTTACATCGAGGCATGCCAGTCTCTTCCCTGGTGTCAGAGTTTTGACCCAGGACCATATGCTTGGACCTAGAGTGGTTAGCGGCGGTGTGGGTCCCCGTTAGACGAGACGAAAACCGCGTCCTTGGGGTCAGGTGAGACGGAGCCCGCACCTAAGGGGTCGGGCGAGACGGAAATCGTGGCCTTGGGGTCGGGCGAGACAGAGCCCGCGGCCTTAGGCGAGAGCCCAGTGGCCTCGAGGTTGGGCGAGACAGAGTCCGTGGCCTTGGGGTCGGGCGAGACGGAGCCCGTGGCCTTGAGGTCGGGCGAGACGAATCCCGCGGCCTTGGGCGAGACCCCCGTGGCCTCAAGGTCGGGTGAGACAGAGCCTACGCCTTAGGGTCGGGCGAAACGGAGCCCACACCCAAGGGGCATAGCTTACTGCCACCCGTCAGGAGGTGGCTGAGCTTGCCCCTGTCGCCCAGGAGGTGGCTGACCTTCAGTTAGGGAGAAGGATGCTCGCGACGACGCTCGTGAGGCCGAGGAGAAGCTCGCGGCCCTGATTGAGAGGGCACGCACAGACGCTGTGGAGGCCGAACGGCTACGGAAGGAGTAGGACGATTTGCTCTGGGCCATAGAGGAGCTCCGCACGGGGACTGAGCTGGCTCGCCAAGAGCGCGCCGACGCTCAGCAGTGGATCAACCACCTTGAGGGTGAGCTTCAGAGGGAGAGGGACCTAAAGGTTGCAGCCGCGGACGTGTCCGCCGAGCTTGCCGTGGAGGTCGGTCAGCACCAAGAAGAGGTCCAGCGCCTGGAGGCCAAGGTGACCCGGCAGCGCCATGAGGTACGTAGGCTTCAGGCGGACGTGGACGGTAAGTCTCTGGTTTCCCTTGTTGTCTTTCTCCCTAGAATTCGTGGTAAGCCTTTTGACATAGTTGGTACGTGACTTGGGCAGGTCTCGACGACAAGTTCAGGGCGGAGGTGGTGAAGAGCCGTGGCTTGGAGAAGGAGCTCAGCGAGGTCAAGGACACCCTCCAGAAGGAGAGCGATGAACATGACAACCTGCGCGTCACCGTCCAGCTAGTCTACGACGAGCTCGAGCTAGCCCCGGAGCAGGAGACAAGCTCGCTCGCGGTTCGCGCCACCCGGATCACGGACTTGGCACGTGATATGGCAAGGAGCGTGCTTCACTTTGGCGTTCACTGATCGTTCGCGATCGCCCGTTCTCATTACGAGAACATCGATCTGGCGACGATGAGCCAAGACTTCACACCAGTCTATACCGACGCCGAGCTGGACGACATCGAGAAGGGGGTGGCCCCCCTGGCGCATGACCTTTCTACCGAGATAGAAGATGAAATCATCCCCTGAGGTGTTAGTTTAGTTTAATCAGACATCTCTGTGATAATCTATTCAGTCCAAGGTATTTTAAGAATTATTAAATCATATAAAACTCAGTAGCTAGAACAATTCGTATAAATAATAAAATTTGATTTGAATCTGTTAATGTCATAAATAAATAAATAAATAAAAATTACAAATTAAATAAACTATGTCCTTGATGGCACATTTGCGATCTTCCGGACGCCGAATTAATTTACAAGTTCAATTCGTTTTTTCCTCGTCTTCCCTGACCGTTTACACCCGTCTCAAAACCTAACCAAAACCCCCACGCCGCGATTAAATAAATAATAAAAAAACACGCCGCCGCCATCTCCGGCGATGTCGCACTTCGGGCGCTCCGGGCAGCCGGAGAACCGCGACACTTTCTCCCTCCTCGTCCTCAACGTCTCCTTCCGTAAGTAATCTCGCTCGCCTACCCGGCCCTTTCTGGCTCCTCCCCCCCGCGGCGCGCTCTCCCGAACACCGCGTTCGGCGTACTCACGCCCCCAGTGGATGAATCCCTGCTGCAGGCACAACGGCTGACGACCTCTTCCCGCTCTTCGACCGCTACGGCGAGGTCGTCGACATCTACATCCCGCGTGACCGCAGGTGGACGCCATTCTTTCACCACGCGTCGGGGCTGGATTTAGAATCGTTTTTTGGTTGAGCTTGCGTCTCCTCTTGCAGGACTGGGGATTCGCGAGGGTTCGCGTTCGTGAGGTACAATTACGAGGATGAGGCGCAGGATGCCATTGACGGGCTTGATGGTGAGCGAAGGAAAAATTTCATCTGTTATTCCATTATTTTTTTTTCTTCTAAGACTTATATTCCAATTTTTTTTCTGGTACAGGGATGAGGTTTGGTGGGCGGGCGCTCATGGTGCAGTTTGCCAAGTACGGGCCCAATGCTGAAAAGATGTAAGATCTCACATGCTACAACCTTTGTTATGTACCGATTAAATTATTTGTTGCATTTCATTGTGGCAGCAAAATCTTGGGTGGTATGATGTCATGTAGCAGTAACAGATGCCACCCCTGCAGTAGAACTAATTTATTTTATTATTTCTAAGAGGTTAATAAGAGTTTCCTTGAGACTTTAGTCATTTAGATGGTTCTATAGTTGAATGAAACATTGATCTGTGTGAGTATGGCTGTAATTTTATGTTTGGGTATTCCATCGTTACATGATCTGATCATCATTTTTTTCTGTTCAGCCTTCATACTTAAGCCCTGTTTTGATGCAGGGAAAACTTCTGGAGTTGGAATGCACTGTAATTTCTAGTGTGGTTGAAATGTAGCTATCCATAGTAATGCCAATAAATTATAAACACCAACCACCTAAGTACCTAATTTAGCTAGGTTGTTTCATGCCCGCAACAGAGTATTTGAAGGTTGACAGGAAATCGCATGTAGACATGGATGTGGCTATGTAAAGTTGGGATGAGGAGTATTTCTCTGAGTGAAGTTTCACAATGACAAGATTGTTAACCTCTCTTTGCTTTCGTAATGCTAGCTTGGATTGTTCATCTGTTGAAGAATCCCTGTAGTCTAGGTTGATGTATGTGTTCAATCGATGGAAACACTCCAGGGGCTTGTTTGTAGTGAAGCTTTTTTTTTGAACTATAAGTTATTGATGCAGTGGTTATTGATAGGTGCACTTTCTTCTGCTACTTCTGCAGCTATCACCCTTGCCTTGCACCAGTGAACTGCAGGTGTCTGGCTGCTGCAGCTGCAGCAGTAGCACTACCGAACAGGCTTGACATGAATTGTGCTGAAGTTTTTGCCTGTTACCATTCCATTCTAGTTTGTTGGTTTCATGCATCTTTTTGTTAGGTTGGGGAGGTGCATATCCATTGGTTGACTTACTTTCATGGACAAGAACTTTGTCTCTACTTGTATATATCTGAATGAAGTTCAGAAATGGGAAGTAAGAGTGTTTCTGTTAGACATACAAACCCAAATTACTTGTTTACACATCTAGCAGAAGCCAAAAAGTCACATTACATGGCCTGTTTAACTCATATTGTTTCTTTTTCTAAGAAAACACTCATTACAAGAATCAAGAATGCCACTTGCTAAAATATGTTGATACTATCATTTTACTATTTATTAAGTGCATCAATACAACTCGGAGAATGGCAAAACACTGAAAGCAATTTCACTTATTAAGCATTACCTTCTTGTTTGTGTTTGCAGTCATAGGGGTAGAATTACAGAAGAAAATCCAAAGCCAAGGGGTCATTTCAGAAGCCGCAGTCCAAGACCGAGGTAAGAAATAGCCTGCATATTTGAATCTTGACAATGACATACTTGGTACTCCCTCTGTTCCCTTTGTGTATGATGTTTCAGAATTGCATGCACTGAAGGAAAAGCTAGCTATGACCTCATGCCCCTACTGACTTTGTGTATCTTGCTACGTACTAAATTTGTTTCTCTCCCAAACTGCTCATATTTAGGCTTATTAACCAATAAACAAAGAAAAGTGTTGCTTGCACTGAATGGAATAGGCACACTTCACTACTTTAGTAGAGATATACTCCTAGCTGTGTCTCCTTTAACTGCTACAATGCCAAATAAAGAGGATTAAAGGAATACTATTCCACTATATAATATGAAATGAAAATGAATGTATGCTGCACATATTACCTTTATGATAGCCTATAGCATACAAGGGCCCCTGCAAAATGGTGTTGTGTTTCATGGCATTATTGCTCAAGTGCCCAAATGGTACCACCAAATTAGACCTACAATACAACTAAAGAAATTTTCAGCTGTGATGATAGCTCTGTTACTCGTAGTACTAAAACTGGTATAGCATTTCACATGAATCATCTTTATTTTTAATATAAGTGCTAGCCATTTGTGAAGGCATCGAGAGGATTATCGGGATAGAGACTATAGAAGGCGAAGCCGGAGCAGAAGTAGGGAGCGATATGAACAGGACAGGTACAGAGATAGTGATCATCGTCGCCATAGGACTCACAGTATTAGTCCTGACTATGATAGGAAACATAACAGACACAGGTATGTCCACTGGGTTGGAGATATACTATTTTCCTCTTTTGTATTGTCATATCAAAATGAATTATTTTTTACTCCATTCTTCAATGTCGGCAGTGGCTCTCCTGTGCGTAAAAACCCCAGTCATAGCAGAAGCCGTTCACCTCGTAGGGCACCTCATGAAGGAACACCTAACAAGCCCAGAGATGGCAGAAGCCGTTCACCTCATAGGGCACCTCATGAAGGAACACCTAGCAAGCCCGGAGATGGCCGCGCTGCATGTTCTGGAAGCCCTTGAGCCTAAAGCTGAAATGCTGAATATCGCACAGCTTCTCACGGACAGCTTGAGGCATCTAGACAGTTCTCGTCATTTGTATTTTCTTACTTTTAACTGGTATGTTACTAAGATGGCCTTTGTTTCAGTTTAGGTGGAGTAGACTGAGCTTCGGCAAAAACAACACTGTTTGCTTGGTTACTGAATCTACATGGTGCCAATGCCAATGATGGAATATTGCTTGCCCCTGCATTCGATTTCCAGTACTGTTTTTTGTGAACATCTAAGCCTCATTCTGGGAACTATATACACATTGGATATGGTCATCTACACCTTTCCCTTGTTCCTATACTACCTTATCTCAACCCGCAAAAGGCCACGTCGCCCCTTCTCACTGCCCATTGGATATTCCATCAACGGTAGATGCCTCACGTACGGTCAGCAATTGTATCCGCCTCGCCAAGCTTCCGTGACGGTACGACGCTTGCGCCCCGGTGCCCTCTGCCGCCCTCTGTGCCGCGCCCTCCGCGCCGCTTGTCGCTCGCCGCCCCAGCCGTCGCTCCCGCCGTCCCCGCCGCCCCCATCTCCGGCTCCCTCCCCTTCCCTACGTCCCGTCCCCTACCCAATCCATCGACGGACGCCGACGGCTGCTGACGCCCACGCCACCGCCGACTCTGGCTCCCTCCGCCGCTGCCTCAGCTTCGTCCCCGCACCGACGGCTGCTCACGCCCACGCCACCGCTGACTCCGGCTCCCTCCGTCGCTGCCTCAACTTCGTCCCCGCCCCTGGACTCCCTTCGCGGCCACCACGAAAGGATGTAACCCTTGCCGGAAGCCTCCGGCAGGGGTCCGCGCCGCCGCCGTGACCTTCTCCACCGGTTTCACGCCCGCGCCAGCCGGAGGTGCTGCCCTTCTTCCACTCCGACGGCGTCGTGACTGCTCCGCGTTCATCCTCCTGCCGATACACGGTAAGGTTTTCAATCCCTGTTCTCTTTCGCCTTGCTGTCTTCTGCCTTTCCCTCGCTCGATGAAATGCTAAACCACACCATCATGGTTCAGAAACAGATAAATTTTGGTTAACTAAAAGCTAAGCTAATTTTTAGTGTTCAAATGGAGCTGCCCCTGAAGCAGCGCCTTCTCCATTTTTGGTCATGCACTACTTTGCTTCAGAATGTACATATACTACCAACAGATATTTAGTGACTCAGGATATTATGCTATATATGTTTTCCCCACTAACTCAGGTTTGGTACTGTAATCAGCACATGGAGGGTTATAAGGAAATTATGCAGCCTTGATTTCACTGACAACTCCCAATTTACACACATTCAATCTACTGCCGTAATTTTGGAGTGCATATTTTAACTTTTACATAATGCTTTTATATGCCCAGCTTTCAAACACACACACACAAAAAAAAAATGTTCTTTTCCTACCTGAAGTAGTTTGACTTTGTAGGCAACAACTGACAGATTGCCATGTGTTCCTGTGAATGATTACCTACTTCTATACTTGCTGATGAACCTCAAACTATGAAGTATTAACCTAACTACAGTCTCCTTCTGTCCATGATTCCAATAGAAGAATGCAGTTTGCACAAAAAAAATGCACATTGCACAAAAAAAATAAAGATTTTACTACCTGTACATTCATAGGTCCTTTGTGTGCGTATTGCTCCTTGCCTCAATAGTTTTTTTTCCCAAATTATATAGATATATGTGATACGCTTAACTCTATTTCCTGATGTCTACCAACTTGGTTAACTTCAATACTATTATTACGCTTTATAACAAACTCCTACTGTCCACTTGCTGCTTACCTCTAAGGTTTATGCATTACATGTCTTGCTTCGTAGTATCATAGCTGATACAGACATACAGGAGATCCACAGGCATTTATCTGGCCTGTTTGGTATTCAGTGCTTATTTTTTACTATGGGTTTTCCTCTTGCAGGGACATCATAGAGGAGCGGACCATCTGGGTGCCCACAGCCACCAATTTAGCCTATTGAATAGTAGTTCCAGGTATTTTCCCGCACCGCACAAACCCTTCTTCCTCATTGTGATCACAAAAGAAAGAAATAGTGTGTTAGTGTTACTTGCTGTCAGGTTATTTTTCGATCCTTGGATGCTTTACTGAATCATTGGTTGTTGTTGCAGTTTTAGTTGACGCTTACATATTTTTTTGATTTCTTGGTCTGCACGTGCTCAATTTTAGTTGAACTTATGAAATTGGCAGATAACTGAATTGCTTCCAAGATCAATCCTATTGTTCTATAGTTCTTTTGTTTTTTTTGTTTGGGCAACATGAACTCCCATTAGAAATATACACAATAAGCACATAGTTGACCTCCTCCATTACATATAAAATTGAATTATTGTTCTTTCTTCAAAGTTTCGTGTAGATCCATCCTATTGTTCTATTCTTATAATTTTTTTTGTTTGGGCAATATGAACTCCCATTAGAAATATACACAGTAAGCAGATAGTTCACCTCCTCCATTTGCTGATAAAATTAATTGATTGTTCTTTCTTCAAAGTTTTGTGTAGCATTCGATCAGTTCTACTCATGTCGAGATCATCTCTACTGTCAGTGTCAGCCCCACTGATGTTAAAATTATTTCAAATGCCCTTGGCTCCTCTTCCAAACTTTGATTGACCAAGAATGTTTAATTGTCTTAAAAGCCTATTCTCAACTGTATCTAAGTATAAGTATACAGCTGGACAAAGATTGCAGAGAGAACATTCTGGGAGCACAAAAGTGATGCATTAGTAGTGGTTTCATTCTTGCTGCACTGATTTCAACACGAGGGTTCAGCTGCAATTGTTTTCCTAAAGTCTCGGAGTTCATAGCATGTCACACATTTGTACTTTCCTGTACCTATTTGGAAATTTCTCTCTGTGACAATGAAAAGACCATACTTGCCATTGACATATAACCTCTCATGCCGCGAAATGTTTTCTCCTCTCCTAAAGGCATGCAATTTGTGTAGCGATATTGGTAGATGTGTAACTAATGTACATTTGAGTTGCCATAAAGCAATGCTTCACTATGCTCTACATATGTAATAAACAAATTTAATAAATATTGTCCTGTCGTTGTGTGCCTTGCCGTAAAGACTTACAGTAGCACCGAACTCTGGCAAAATGTTGTCCTCACGGTTGTTTTGTATGTGCAGGTGTTCGTCAATTTTCTAAAAGCGCGCCAAGGACTTCAAAAGTTCAAGTTAGGTTTAAGATGTGCCTATGCTGCATTCACTATCCTGAGATGCAATAGCAGAGGTTAACGAGGTCTGCCAATTTGAGTGTCCTTCTGAGCTCTCGTCTGCAAGATTCATTGCTGAACATGCATTGCTTCTTTTCTTACATGCTGCCAAAAGGTTTGTTACTTCAAGATGACCTTCAGAAAAATAGGCATACTTCGTATGCTTTGATTGTATTTGCATTTTTGCTTATTGGTGTAAATATTTTTTTAATAAAGTTTACAGCCCTCTGCTGCATGGTACCTCAGCCGGCTCTGTCCTCTTCACCCGTAACCACTCCCTCCACCATCCCAATCTGTCTCTCCGAGACGTCTTCGACCATCAACCGAGATTGTGCGGGGTTCAATGTATTCTACTGTTTTTATCACCAAACTCATATACTACGCCTCTCGAGCCCGCGCAACTGCGCGGGGTTCCTGCTAGTTTCTTACTATATAGGTGGTGAATTGTACATTTCTAGTTATATGATGTGAATGTCCTCTTGTACTAGTATGGTTGTACGGTCTACAGAAACACACAACTTTATTGCCACATTTGTAGTTAGACTTAGGGCCTGTTTGGTAGAGCTCCAGCTCCAGCCAAAACAACTTTAGTTAGTGGCTTTACATGTGGAGCAGATTCACTTTGAGAGTTGGAGCAGTTTTTATCGACCGTTTGGTAAGATAGCTTTTCCATTAGTCAAAAAACGAAAATGTCTATACTACACTTATTTTTTTTTTTTTTTCCTTTACATTTTCCTTTCTTCATTATCTGTTCACTCATTCACGCACGTGGCCGCGCGGTGACCCCACGCGGCCACGCCTCCCACGGCCTCGACATCCTCTGCTAGTCCGCCCCCACGCCCGGCGGACACAACGACCTCGGTGGCTCGCGCTTGGCGGCCCCAGCGACTTTCAGCGGCGTCTCTAGGCGACCCCGCGCGGCCCACCCCGGCAGCCCCGGCGACCCCGATGGCCCCAGTGGCGACCCCAACAGCTCCTGAGCGGCGTCCCTTGGCGGCCTCGGCCTCCCCGCGCCACCTCCGTCTCCCCGCAGCTCCCCGCCCGCCCCTGCCTTCGCACGCCTCTGGATGGCCGTGTCCGCGTGCTCGTGCTCACGCCGAGGGCAAACTCGCCCAGGGCCCACGCATCTAACAGGGAGCCGAGGGAAGCTCGATTTTTCGGCTCCATCTCCCATCTTCGCTCTGTCTCAACGTAATTTCTAGGACTTCTCCTATGGAGCTGATGTCCTCACACCCGTTTAGCAGCTGGAGTCGTAAACCAGCTCTCGAAGTCGGTCCGGGAGCGCTACCAAACAGCCTCTTACATGAGGGCGCCGCTTTGGCACATTCTGAGCAATTTCAAATTTTTGCACTGCGTATGTTAGCAAAATGAAATGCATGTGTTTTATTCTTCATGTATGTCCGGCTTTTTTATGAAACAATGTATGCCTAATGTATCTTGTCATAGGTTTGGGTCGTGTCGCGTCGATCCTATATTCCCGAGTGTAGGGAGTATTACAAGTGTAGGTAGTCTATATTGCATATTATTAGGTGTTGTTTGGTTCGTTGTGTAAGTCGCGTATTCAGTTCACAGGGTGATTAGTTACCATTGTTTTATGTTTGGTTGAGGTCAGACGTAATTGATGACAACGGGATTACCGTTGTTTTATGTTTGGTTGAGTTCAGCCGTAATCGATGACAACGGGATTTGATCCAGACTAGTGTAAAATCATTACCGCTCCTCTCCAGCCGCTATCCAGGCTTACTTAGATTGGAGTCAGGAATCAGTATTTGGCACTGTAGCACTTTCGTATGTATTTGATAATTATTGTCTAATCATGGTCTAATTAGGCTCAAAAGATTCGTCTCGTAATTTACAATCAAACTATGTAATTAGTTATTTTTTTTATCTA